GAGAGGGTGCAGCTAGCTGGCTTGAGTGCTGAAAAGGGTCCCATTGATGGACAAAGGCTGAGGAGAGGGTTCTAAGCACTAGAGCAGCAGGTGCAGTGGTCTCGGGGTAAAGTGGGGTATGAGTGTTTATGGAATGTCTTCCTTGCCATATACATTATCACAGAAATCGGTGGCTTAAAGACACAGAAAGTTATCTCACACTTTGGAAATTATAGGCCCCAGATCAGGGCCTGTGGGGAAGCCCACCCCTTCAGGGGTGAAATTCTTATTTGCTTCTCTTAGCCAGTGCTGGCTACACATGGTCCCTGCCCGTGTCCACGGCCCTTCCTCTGTCTGTGTTTTTACCTTCTGGTTCCTAAGGACTTCAGCACCTATGGAGTTCATCCAAGATGGATTTTATTTTGAGATCCTCAGCTTGTTGACTTCAGGAATCTTTTTGTATCTCGATGTCTTCAGGAATCATTTTTCCAAATGAGGTTGTATTTACGGCACCAGAGTTTAGGACTAGACTCTTTGCGGTTGTATGTAGACAACTGAACGAGCCTGGAAATGATCTGATGCTGCAGAGCAGGAGACAGCTCTGTTCAGTGGAGACAGATGTAGACTCCCACGTCTTCAGTTGATAATGTAGGTTGGTTGTATCATGGATTGTTAGTGGGGAACTATGGGGTTTTGAACAGGGAAAGGCACAGTTGGGTTGTAGCTCGGCTGCTGTGGGGAGAGAATTGGCAAGGGTGGGCATTTGAGACGATTCATGCAGAGTAGGAAAGAGAAGTCTGGGAAGACTTGAAGGTCCCTCAGCATCTGCGGAACTAACTGCAGGAAAAAGTTGGGGGCTGGAAGATGTGTATCCACGAAAAAATCGGACACAGATAATGCTGCCCAGACCTCTCCATGGAGTGAAGAAAAAAAGTTGAGCAAGAAAGCAAAGGAGGGAGTGGCAAAGTCTAGAGAACACCATCCCTCCGTCCTTTTATCATGAGAATTATTAGACGGGGAAAATTTGAGAGCGTCGCACACAGAACTGCCCATTTCCTCTCTGCAGTCTGTAATAACCACTTTCCCACGACTGTTCCCTTTCAAATCTAGCCATCTCCCCTTCCCATTCCCTGTTATATTTTATGTATTTCAGAGTTGCCAATGCTTCTGGTTAACGAGAGTTCAGTATTTGGCAAACTGCATGAAGCTTAGCTGTACGACAATTTGGTAAATTTTGTGAATGCATCTGTCTACCTCACATCCTTGTCAAGACCAGGAATGGTCCATTGGCCCAGGAAATCCCCTTGTGCCCACTAAGAAGCTCCTCTCCACACCCCATTCCCAGAGGCCACCAGTCTTGTGATGTTATTTCCAAACATAGGTCAGCTTTGTCTATTCTAATACATTATATAAGCAAAAGCATTCAGGCTGTGCATTCGTGTCTAGCTTCTTTCACCCAGCAGACTATCCTCAAGAAGTCAGTTTTACAGTTTCTTTCTGTTGCCTGTTTTAGGAATCTATACAGAATAGCAGTTTTTAAGGGATGGGTTGTAAAAGATTTCACCAAGGATTCCAAGAAGAGTGAAGGTAGAAGTAGTTCAGATAATACGAACTCTCCCTCCCTCCCTCTCTCTCTTCCTACCTGATTCTTCATATTTCTCTTTTATAAAAGAAGTCTAGGGGTAGAACATTCCAGGGTCAAAAGGAGGCTCCATTATCCCTTCAGTGACTCAGCCGTCTTCCTTTCTGCCTTCTGTCTTCAGAGTCGTCTCACTGTTTAGCGTGGCTGCCGCGGCTCTAGCCATACAAATGGGCAGCGAAAGGAAGGATGGTGAGGGCAGGGGCCAGTGTACGTCTTACATATGAGTGGTATGTTGTATGCTTGTTAGTGAGTGTGCGAGTGCGTGCATGCATGCTTGTGTGTAGAGGCCAGAGACCCAGATCAAATGCTTTTGCTTTGTCACTCTCCACTTTGCATTTTTTAAAAATCTGTGCGTGTGCACATGGGAGTGTGTGTATGTGCCAGAGAAGGGGATCAGAGTCTTTGGAGTTGGTTGTGAGCTACCTGACATGAGTACTGGGAAGTGAACTCGGATCCTCTGGAAGAGCAGCATATACTCCTAAGCACTGAGCCGTCTCTCCAGGGTCTTTCACCTGAACCTGAAACTCGTCAACTTGGTTAGCTTTTCTGGTCAGTGAGCTTTAGGGATTCTCCTGTCTCCTTGCACTCCCCACCCACCAGCGCTGGGGTCACGGGTATACGCCATCAGCCCTGGCATTTGACAGGAGTGAACGCAGTCTGGACTCATGTCTTCATGCTTGTGTGGCAGGCACTTCGCCGACTGAGCCATCTCTTCAGCCTCCGTGACCTAAAGCAGCCAGGGGGAAAAGCTGTACTGTGAGCAGCCATCTTCAGAGTCACCTCTGCCTCCAGACAGAGGCTTGCTGTGTACTCCAGGCTGGCCCTGAACTCCTGCCCTGGCCTCCCATGTGCTGGGATGACAGGTCCAGGCCACCATACTTGCTCATTAGTAAGGACCTAATTGCACGCTACTAAGAAATGTAGCCGCTCTACCAGCCGCTGAGCGTGGTGCCGCTGCAAACACAGTGGGGTTCCTGCTACCGAGAGGGGAAATGGAGCCGGCTGTTAGTAACTTCATTGTCTCACATTCTTTTGAGACTAGTGGTCAGGCCACATCGTCCACTTAATGTTCTTACCGGAGACCTTCCTGGACTGAAGACTGTCTGTGCCCACGAGTTCGCTTTCCACCCCTAGAGGGTTGCTTTCTCCTTTCTCTCCACCTCTTCCTAATAGAACTGTCCTGGACTCCCAAGATTTTATGAAATGCAGGAACAAGAAAGGAACTACCTAGGAATGCTGCTCGCAGAGGCTACTATGCCAGTCCCCATGTCTGTACTCTGTGCTCCCCTCATTGGCCAACCTGTCCCATGAGGATGGCCAAAGGCAGGGAGCTGGAATTTGGAGTGAGATTCAGAAGGGATAGGATAGCCCTTGAAGACTCAGATTGACCCAGGTTAGACGCCCTCCATGATCTTAGGCAGATGTCTGAGGCTCAGGGCCCTCATTTGTGAGAACTGCCTTGGACAGGTGGTTAAACGGAACAGGAGCTGTGCACATCAGGGCAAGCCTGGCAGGGACCTTCTGTTCTCGTGGGAGATGGCAGTATTGCTTGAGAGGTGGGCCAGGCCATCTTCCCTTTTGGCCGCTCTGTGAACTCTGCATGCAGGTAATATCTTCATTCTCTGATGCCTGATACAGGTTGATCTAGCCGTTGGCTAGGCCTGAGTCCACCATAAGTTATTTCCCCAAATCCTTAACTTCAGCATGGCCAGGGAGACCCAGGGCCCCTGGAGGGGTAGAGAGGCCTGTGGATCTTCATGCCTGTCCTGAGGAAATACAGCGTATGTCCCCAGACAGCTTGATGGGCATCAGCTGAGTGCAGGGAGAGGATGTCAGCAGAAGCAGGTACAGAGAGCCCAGGGGAAGCTACTGACTGCCAACAGCCAGATTGGACTGACTGTAGCCCTGGCCTGGCGCCCCAGTGACCTGGTGGCACCATTCTCAGGCTTCTGGCCGCCTGTGGGCTGGTGTGCTATGACAGAGGAGGAGGAGCCAGGGCCTCCCCAGAGAGCTTGACTCACTGGGGCCACTTGTTCACTGCCACTCAAGCTTTCCAGGTGCCTGCTGAAACACCCAGCTTCTGCCCCTGAGGCTCCAGGGAGGCCATGTGCTATTGGTACTGCTAACTGGCTTCCCAGGGAGAACATCCTGGAGGAAGTGATGGATGAGCAGATAATGGGCCAGGCCCGACCAGGCTGCTCTGACATACTGGCCACATCCCACAACTCAGGCCCTGCCGTGATTCAGGAACAGTATGGCAAATCCCTGTGTTTCCATCAGGTCCAGTGTGCAGGGCGCTACCACCAGTGGTTTCAAGGCTCTTTCTCTGCATTCCCCTGTGGGACACGGCACCTGCTGCTTCTGGTCTTTCAGAGGCTGCACCCTTGATCTCTCCTCCCTGAAGCAGGGTCCGATATTCTTTGCCTGCAGCAACCCCACTGTACTCTGAGACAGATTAGTGGACTGAAATGCTGGAAACAGCAACACCCAACTTGCTGGCCAATTGCTGGCCAAGAACGATGCCAGGATCCTAGTGAGGACATTCTATAGCTCTTGTGCAGAGCCTGGAGGTACCACCATGTTCCCTGGTGGCCTGCCCTACTGCCCCCAGGAAGAGCATCTGTGTGTGGCCCTGGTGTGGCGCTGGGAACGCTGAGGGGTTAATACAGCTCTGCTTCCTCTCACCTTCTCCCCTGCCTTCTCTGAAGGAAGCTGTGTGGAATTACAGACATAAGTGCTGGCTTTTTAGGAGCCTGCTGCTTACCAAGTTCCTGCCAGGCCTGGGCACAACCCTCTCTCCCACGCCTGCCTGCCTTGGGCTCTGTCCTGTACGCAGGGCCTCATTCAAAGGACTGAGGGCCTCCTAGGGCACACTTTCTGGGCCCTCCCTACCCCAAACCTACCCTGTTCACCCCCCAGGGACTGAGCTCAGTGTACAATGGTACCCAAGGAGGAGGGACGGAGGAAGTGACATCGCTTGGCCCGCCCCCACCTCCTTATTCCCTATAAAAAGCAAAATGGTGACTCAGAGAGAAGAGTTGGAATCGTCCTGCCTCCTGCTCCCACTGTTAATTTTTAGACGTGGAATTAGGCAAAGGAAACAGCTCCACATACGCAGCTGACATGCTATTAGGCGGGTGGAGACAACAGAACCACTCCTCCCCGACTCCCAGCAGCCTCTGACGGACTCAGCAGAGCCTGTGCCTGCTGGAGCTCCCCCCCCCCCCAGGCCTGGCTGCGCAGCCCCTGCCCTGGCCCAGGGTGTATGGTGCAGCAGGGGCCATGGCAGCTGGGGGCCGACGCCGGCGCCCACCGCGCTACCAGTCCCTGGCAGCCCTGGTGGAAGACTCTCAGTGGCCTTTCTTGTTCCTTGTCTCAGACTTCAGCTACGGGGCCGAGGACTACGACGCAGAGGGGCATGAGGAGCAGAAGGGGCCCCCCGAGGGCTCAGAGACCATGCCGTACATCGACGAGTCACCTACCATGTCGCCCCAGCTCAGCGCCCGAAGCCAGGCTGGTGGGGACAGCATCTCACCCACCCCACCTGAGGGGTTGGCATCTGGGGTAGGTATTCCCATTTTCTCTTCCGGGGAGGGCAGACAGAACTGTGTATGTGAAAAGTGGGCCAGGGTCTGCTCAGGACGGTGTTGGCAGTGGCGCTGGAGGAGGGTGGGCCTGGGCTGCTGGTGCTCCGTGGTCCAGGTCCTGCTCCGAGACCTGCTGCTCTCTGCTACGCTCCACCGTTTCCCTGCTCCGCCAGCTGTTTGTCCTTCTGCCTGGACACCCCCGCCCCCTCGGCCATCTCTCAGGCTCTCAGGAGGATGAAGGAGGGGCCTGAAGAAGGACCAGGCTTCTCTCTCTGTACCTGGCTGGATCCGCATGGCCTGCAGACAGCGATCACCCCACAAAGCCAGAACTGGTCTCCTGCTCCCTGTGGGGTAAAGCATGGAGCCTCTGTGGTGCCCCCCAGTGCTGAGAGCCTGCAGCCCTGTTCTGTCCCACAGGAAAGGAATCAGCCTGGGCTGCCTAACGTCCCTGCTGCCAGGGGAGGCTGGGGCTGGTCCACTCCGAAGCCTTTTGTAAGAAATGTTAACTGTGCTTCGACAGGGCAGGGAGATAGGAGTGTGTGGAGGACCGTAGTTCTTACAGTGAATGCTGTTCCTGGTGACGGGAACAACACTGAGCCCAGATCATGAGTGTACACATCTGAAATACACGAGCAAGGCAGGCAGAGATTCTTTGGGGCTTTTCTTTTGGAGTTGGGGGAAAAGTCGTAGCCCTTCGTTTTGGAGGAGGGATCTCAGTTTCACAGGTCCCTTTGGCTCAGCTTGTCCAGTTGTGTTTTGTGGGGTTCTCTTTCCTCTCTCTGAGGCCCCCAGGGGAGCATCAGAGATGATAGGTAATGCCTTTCCCTTCTCTAGGGCCTAATAGCCTCACCTGCCTGGAGGCTGCCTGGACTCTACCATTTGGAAGAACCCCTGCTTCTTCCCACCCTCTGCAGGCTCTCACCCCCTCTTCACACACTGGGGTAGCTGTTATAGCCTTTGGCAACAAGGGCCTTGGCAACCAGCATCCCACTTGGGGGAAGCCACATTGTTGCCATGACAACAGAGGCCTAGCCAATGCTCAGCGGCTGCCAGGTGGTGCAAGTTTGGGAAAGGATGGGGGGGCAGGTAGAGGGGATGGGTGTCAGTGTTGGTCAGCTTCAGGTTCCCCACAGCCAGCGTTGTTGGGTGCTGTTGCCCTAAGGAAGGGTGATGGATTAGAGACAGCCATTTTGGCCACGTAGAGGCAGAGTGTTTGGATCAGTGGAGGAGCGACTGTTCCGGGACCTGGACTCAGGCCAGCCAGGAGCAAAGAGGAAGAGAGAACTCTGGCTCCACATCCCTGCCTTGTGGTTGTAGGTCAGTGGGGTTCAGATACCCCCTAGAGACTTAGCCCATTACCCCACGTGAGCAGGTGCAGGATGGTGCCTGGGGAGTCTCCAGGCAGGGCCTGGTCTACGCAGTCTCCTCTCTCGTTTCCTCATGACTACCTTGCAGGAGCATTCAGCCACAGATATTTGGATTTCATAGTGAAAAGCCCTACCCATGTTCTAGGCATAGCAGGGCCATATCCCTGCAGGGTGGCCTCAGCTTTGGGTTTGGCTTCACTTTGTACCCATTGCTCCTGACGGTCAGAAGGGAATAAAGACTTGAGTGGGAGATTTTGAAATGTTAAGTATTTACAAAGAACAACCAGCTGAAGCGCTCGGGGCCCTCGGTACTTGCTGATTTTCACACCATTGCTAGGCAGGCGATTGTTGATGCCAGTTGGGAATGGCTGAGGCAGTTCCAGCTGCAGGATGCTGTACTCCTGCCTGCCCCAGCCATAACCCCTGCCTGCCTGGAGCCAGCTGCCTTTCTGCTCTTTCTGTTGTGTTACTGGCCCCACCTAGTGGACTCTGCAAGTAATTATTATTTGCAATGGGGCGCCTGGATGGTGCAAGCCCCCTTTCCTAGTACTTGGGATGATTTGGGTTTCTGTTGTTGTTGTTTTAAAGGGCTGTGTGTGTGTGTTCCTGCCACTTGGCTGTGCTCATTTGGCCAGGCAGTCTCCTCCTATGCCAGGCTTCCTGTTAGGAACTTGGGAACAGAGGGGACTTTTGGACCAAATCAGACAATTGTTCTAGATGTTCAGATATCTAGCTTTTGGCACAGGCTGCCAGCTGAACTTTCCACACCCAAACACGCAGCCAAGTTGTACCTGGGAGGAAGATCAAAATTTGGTTTATGTGTTAGAAAAACGTAGCCCAAATGGTGTGTGTGTGTGTAGAATTTGCATATATAGATTTAGTAGAAGGCACTGACTCATGTGGGCATAGAAGCCACGAAGTCCAAGTGAGTGCTGGAGGCTCAGGAGAGCCAATGTGCAGTTCTAGTCTAAAGTCCAAAGGCCTGAAAGTCAGGTGAGCCAAGATAAAAGATTCTAGGTAGGAAACCAGTGTTTCAGCCTGAGTCCAAAGGCTGGAAAAGACCAGTCCCAGCAGTAGCAGGCATTGCAGGTAGAGCCCCTCTGGCTTTGTTTGAGACAGGTTCTCTCTGAAGTTTACTTCATAGTCCGGTCTGGCCTGACACTCACCGTCTTCTGCCTGGGCCTCATGGTGCTGGGTCATGGCATCACCACTCCTGGCTGGAAGGAGCCCTTTTCTTGGCCTTTTGATCTCGTGTCTTCAGTAGACACGAAACGGGATGAGGCAAGGCCAGTGTACTTTGGGGAGGCATCTGCTTTGCTCAGTCTATAGATTCAAATGCTAATCTCATTGTGAACCGTCCCATAGACACCTTCGATAATGTTTGGACACCCCTGGCCCAGTCAGGTTGACACTTAGAATGGACATTTAGTGTCTTGTGTCAGTGGCCTGGAGACTGCAAGTCATGTAAGCCCTGGACAGATGAAAATGTGCTTTCTGCCTATAGGACACTGAATAAGAACGTGAATGCCACTGAGCACCATTTCCTCAGGTCTGAGTCGCTCCAGTTCCTCTGAGGGGAGGCTGTGAGGAATGGCCAGGGGTTGCTCACAGGGAGCCTTATGAATACATTCAGTCCTAGCACTCCCAAGGCAAAGGCAGAAGGATTGTGGATTCTAGGCCAGACTGGGCTACAGAGTGAGCCCATCTCAAAACAAACAAAGAAAAACCCATAAGACTTTTGTCATCAGCTTTTAGAGGACTGGGACCAGCATCATTGCAAGAACTCAAGTCTGGTAAATAAACACTGGAAATGACTCTCTTTGCAGCCACTGCCTTCCTGGCCTATCCTCCCAGTGTGGTCACCTTAGCCAAAACATCCCCAGCATACCTTGCTTTGACATTTTCATCTTGGCTTGTGCCCCAGAAGTAACGGGTAAACCCTAAGCCCTTCCATGCAGGTCTTTCCAAGCCTAGGCTGGGCAGGGTACCCTGGCACAGTGCCAGAGGAACCAGTTGCTGATAGCACAGTTCAACTGGGGCTGCACAGTTTCCCTTGGGAAAGAGGGTGAGGACACTCCCACTCAGCTGCAACTTCCTGTCCCAGAAGCACAGCCTGAACAGAAAACCTCATTCTTACAGATCACAATTCCCGTCTCCTCTCTGAGAGGTGCAGTCAAAGGGACCCCATGGCAGAGAAAAGATCTGGGTTTTGTCTGTCTTCTACCTTCATGGTATATCATCCAAGGACGTCACACTCTCTGAGTTCATTTACTCATCGGTAAATGGAAGGTACTGAGAATTTCCTCCCATGTGACCTGACACAGCTGTCAGGAGTCTGCCATGAGAGGTCACGGCCCAGAATGCCGTGTAATGTGTGAGGTCTGTTTGGGCGCCTGCCTCAGCTGGCCTGAGGATCCAGAGGTACCAGTGGTGGTGGTGGTGGGGGAAGTGACCATCATTGCCACTGTCTGCTCATGTGTTTTCTCCCTCCCGTCAGCCACTTAGAGAGACAGGGCTGAGGCTCTCAGTGTTTGAGAGGCTCTTCATTTAAGGTCCACAACGTCTTCTGCAAGCTGCGTGCCGTGCTTTCATTTTACAGTTGGAGAAACTGAACCTCAGGGAGTTGATAATTTGCCAGAGACTGTTGAATCCAGCGGGACCAGGGCTCCATTTCAACCTGGAGTCTTAAGCCTGAACCTTGAAGCTTAAGCCTGAGCAGTGTTGCCAGGCCCCTCTCAGACACCCTCCTGGGTGAAACTCTTGACAGCCTCCCCACCCCCACTGGGGCTGTGCATCTGCCTTTCTAGAATAGGAGCGCCATTCCCTGTCTCTCCTTTGTGCACCTCCAAGCTCCCTTGGTAAGCGCACAGGCACCTGTGGGTTCCCGGTGGGTAATTTGGGATTGAATTGTGCAGTTCTGGAACAGGAAGGGCAGGAGGAGCAGGGGCAAAGCTGGCCAGAACCACTGTCCTCCCTTCCCTCTTGGGTTGGGGCAGAGAGGGTCATGTGTGAACAGAGGCCACGTGAAAAGACTGTGGCTTCAGAGCCTGCATTCTTCTGTGTCCTAAACACTTTGTTCCTAGGCCAGGGTACCCTGGTGGGGGCTAGCAGCCTCGCCTCTGTTTCTCCCCTACTGGACCTTTCTTCTGTCTCTGCTGCAGAGAGGACAGTGACTCTCCTCCCGTGTATTAGGGCCATGCCACTATTTCAGCTGCCGGGCGCTCCTGTTACACAGTAATAGGGCTCCGGGGCTTGTGCCTTGTCCAGGCTGGGAAGGAGGTTAAAAAAAATACCTTAGTTGTGACACTGGCCATTTACTAGTGAACTCTCGTTATCCTGTCCAGGCCATGCCCCTCCCCCATCCCATCCCATAATATTTCCTTAGTGTCTTCCCTGATGGACTGCACCTGACTGGCCTGGCCATCCCATCCCTTTCACATCCTCTCCGATCTCTCTTCTGCTAGCCTGCTGGGACAGTTCATGAATGTATTTCTTATCTGAAAATAAGGCTATTCCCAAAGCCATATTTTTTCAACAAAAGTACACTAATCATCAGGTGCCTGGGGCCCAGCCACTGGGAGGCGCTACCAAAGCCAGAGCAGTTTTCTTC